ATGAGATCTGTGTGCTAATGAGCTGACACTGCAGAGGCTAGAGCAGTGTTAGTATAGTGCACTACAAGTGCAGAGCAGAAAGACATACGCGGGTTATTTCTAGGGAATATGATCTACAGAACTGTACGCATAATTCAACACTAATACTAACATCCTTCATCAGAGGTTATAAGAAAAGCATAAAAGATGCTTCAGTGATGAATTTATACATTTGAGTTGCTATATTCATATTATTCTAAAAAAGCCAGCTCACTCCCTACATGAGCATTTTTTGAAGAAAATATAACATGCATGTTTTACTTGATTTTATGCATTCACAGGTCAAGTTAACTTTTTTCCCTTCTATTTTTTCTGATGGCAAAAAGCTGCATATTTTAAAAGATGTAATAAATCTCCCCAGAGCCAAATGATAAACTTCAGTTTACCTTTAAATACACTGAAATTTTCATCTGTGTTTGCATTTACTCTCTGTTAAGATATCACACAGCTAAATAAATAGGTGGGCAGAAAAATACAGAGTGGATGAATACCATATGAATATGTGTAAATTAAATATACAGAGAGGGGCTTGGTGCTGGCAGTGAAGCAGGGAATACATGTACATCAATTGGATTACGCATCATTTAACTGAAAAAGTAATGAGAGGGAGGGGCTTAGGGCAGGAATTTTCTTTTGCTTCTGAACAAGTTTGTTCCCATGTTGGGATATTGCCAAATCAGCCCTACCAGAGTTGGGCTTTTTATCTCTGGCTCATGAGGATACTTCATAAGAGATTTTTTTTCTCCTGCCTCTGGAATGCACCAGATTGCACCAAGTGGGATGTGCAGCTCTACAGTAAGAACATAAGTCTCTCCTGAGCGGAGCCCACCACCTCAATTCCTGCACACATGGACACTTACTACAGTCACTATCATATAAATCAAAGCAAAGGAGAATGAAAAGTATTATGTTATGGATACTGACTAGTACAGGCACTAGGATCAAGCTATGCATGCTACTTCCTCTGATTTCCCTTCGGTTCCTTTACCTATCCCACCACAAAGTCAGTCACAGTCTCCCTCTCCAGCGAAGACAGTCAGAGTCACTGCAGGTTTCTCTCTTATGGATCCCTGCCAATTGCAAATATTGATCAAACGGCTGTGTGACAGCACTGGAGACAATTTATGCTTATCTCCAAGAGAAGTAAAAATGTTGTGGAGAGAATTCCTGCATAGATACGGCAGCACCCTGAAATTATCTGCCACGCCACTGGGAAGTGACGATGTGATTAAGGGTACTTAGGCCAGAATGTTTTACATGTTAGCCAGGTAGTGTGAGGAGCTATTAGTTCATCCTAACGCATCGATATGTATGAGCATTCTGGCTTTCATAGATAATTGCTTCCAGATCCAAAAAGAGCAACCATTCTTCTATTTTTTTTTTTTTTTTCACTTTGAGCTCCTGAGAGTTGGACTCACTGTATTCTTTTCCTACCAACAGTATTACCAGATGCTTGACATAGCTATGGACAAGGTCACCTTTTCATTTTCTTTCTTCTGTTTCTTTTTTCACATCTTCTATTTTTAAATAGGTTACTGTAGGTTGATATTCACTGGTCTATGGTTTTTCCAGAGATTTAAGTTTTCCCAGTTTTACTACACTGGTAATATGTGTGTTGGAACATGCAGCCCTATACTACAGAAAACCATCCCATCTTACTGAAATTGCCACAGCTTTCACTAAGCAATGACAAAACCCATTAGATGTCAGAAGACGAGAAGTACATTGACTAAATAATACATTGACTGCCTCTGAATGAGCGTCTGGTTCACCTGTGTTGGTGGGATCTGTGAAGAAGTGTTGGTAGAACTTCTAAAAAACAATTAATAATTAATCACCCAAGCAGTTTATTGTATTTAGTTTAAATCCATATAATTGATATTTGGGAAATTATGTTGGAGATACAGCCTTTTGAAGGGATTACACTGATTAAGGATTAATAGTCTGATGTTTGTTGTAAGAGCTGTTGAGTCTGAGTAGAAGTAGTAAAATAAGATACAAAGTACAGACATGCTTTTATTTACCATTTTTTCCCACTTTATCAAATATTTTTATTGGATATTGTATAATTAACCTCCCTGCAAAAGTTTTAAAGGTCCTAATCCAAAGACCTTTAAAAAGTGTAATGCTGCACTAGCATGAAGCAGTCACATGGGGGATATGTCAGAATATCAATCCAAAATTTGTCCAAATATTTCCTTATTGTATATTTTCTAGCCATCAACTTTCTCAGAAAATACCTGAAATCCTAGAAGAATAAAATACTACTTGTCCACACGTCCAATTATAGAGTGTGGGACAGGAAAATAAGAACTATTCTATCCTCAACAAACAAAAAATTTAAAAAAAATTATATTCAAAACACAAAATTTTTTTAAAGTAAGAGATGCTAGTTTTCTGTACTACGTTACTTCATTATTTTAGTACAATGCTTCCTCTTTGAACATTTTATACTCGGAGTATATGAACAGGATTCCTGTTCATAATACAAAGTTAGTACTCTGCATTCAGAGATTCTTTAGATCATGTACAGACATATTTCTGTATACTGCAAAGCGCATGCAACTACCTCACAAGAAGACTCCATTAATTTTCAAATGTTTACAATAAAAACTGTTTAAAACTGAATTTGGACACCTGAGTAAAAGAAATATTCAGGAACTACTATTGGTTAAGGAATGCTTTTTAAAATGCAGAACACGCACCAGTCTTTCAGAAACAGATTTCGCATTTTAACACCACATTAACACTACTCAAAGTTCTATTTTGCTTCTTCTGCTAATAAAGGCTCAAATGATACGTATGCACTGCTTGTGCAGAGCTATTTCTCATAACGCTAAGCATTCTGATTCCATTTTCTCCTCCTGCAGCTCTAACAGTATTTGTCAGTTTATAGTCTCCTCAGCTTTTAACAGGACTTTCACTGTAAGAAAACAACCCAGTATTTCAGGGCAGAGGAGGCAAGTAAGCCCCTCTAGCTTTGTCCCCTTATGGTCACTTGTAAACAGCTGTTTCTGTTTTATTCCTACATGGTATTATTTGCACATTATGCTGTTTCACATGACCATGTTGTAGCCTCAACAGAGAAGGGATGTTACTTCAGCGGCAACTCACTGGTCACAGCTACACAGTGCTGCTATATAACATGCTTGTTTTTCTGGAAAACAAAACTAAAGGGGTAAAAAGAACTGGTGAGAGAACTTTCCCTAAGGTACCATTCAACCATATAATGCTGGAAATCTACTAAACCTCATGTCAGTACACATGTTTGTTGCACGATATTGTATGAACAAGAAATCTAGGCTACCAGGAAGAAATTGAATGTAAGGATGGATAACATAGATATTTTTTAAAAAAGTACATATTTACTTACAAGCATTTGTCACTGAAAAACTGTTGGAAGAGTCCAAATGATCTACATGATAGTTCAAATGGAAGGGCTTTTCTGTGGTATTTTGGTTTGTGTTGTATAACTGCACAGCAAATCGAAATGCACTGTGCTCCTGAACAGTGTTCCTCATGAAAAGTCCACCTAGGATGAAAAAAAAAAAAAAAAAAAAAAAAAAGAGAGAGATAAAAAGGAAAAGGGTATTCGAGGATTAATTTTGAGGAGAAACAGTGGCAGTAAGTTACATTTGCATACTGCACGTCTCAGTGAAGAATGAACAGGAGCAGGCTGTGCCTGAGCACGTAATTCTGACAGAGTGTGTACATGAAATACATACTCTAAGTCCAAAGTTAGGCTTTTAAAAGCCACACATCACACCCAGGTGCCCCCCGAGCGATCCGGAGTCACTGGGAGCTGCAGGTGCACCCTGAAAACCAGGCCACTTACACACGGATGCCCACACACAGATTTCAAAGTCTAACTTGCGGGACTCTGGCTCCAAAATTATCTCCAGACTACCCGAATAACGTGGAGTTACTTGCTAAGGACGCGGGTGGCGTGCGGCGTGGCAAACGTGCGGTTCTAAACGGGCTGGTGGAGGAGACGCACAGCTGAGCGCTGCTCCAGGGGAAAAGCAGGGAAAAAACCCAAGTTTCACTCGCACGCCCTCAGCCTTACGGCTCCTGCGGCCCCAGGTTTCGGGCGCGTCGTTACTGCTTCCCGCCGGTGCTCCCTCCCGTTATCCGCCGCACGGGATGCGCTGCCTCGGGGCGCGATTCCGCAGGAGCCCGGACCGAAATCCGCGGCCGCGCCGCCCCCCCCCCCCCCAGCTTCCCCCCCCCACCCCGGCGCTGGGGCGAAGGGGCAGCGCAGCAGCCCGGCACCCCCCAGCACCCCCCGGCAGCGCGGCGGGAAGGAGCCGGAGCGGGGCCGGAGCCGAGCGAGCCCCCCGGGGCCGCCCCCCGCACAACTTCCCCGCGGCCGGCGGGGGAAGGAGCAGGTCGCGGTGCCGCTTACCTATACTGATGGTGTTGGGGAACCCTGCCAGAGCCTCCCCCAGCAGCCCCGCCAGCAGCAGCAGGAGGGTCCGGGGCGCGCTCTGCCCCATTTTCTTCAGCCCCTGCGGTTCAGTCCCTAAAACGAAACTGGCGGCACAGGCATGGGCGCAACTGGAGACTCGGAGCGGTGTCAATGGTGGTAGCGATGCTGGCGGAGGTAGTGGGGTTGATGGTCCCTCTCTTTTCTTCCCCCCTCCTTTTTTTTTTTTTTTTTTTTCCTTCTCCAAATCCCTCTCCTCTCGTCTTCACCCCAGCCTGGGAGGGCTCATTGGCTGCGAGGTTGCCTTTCTCCCCCCGTCTCCAGCAGCCCCCCCCCCCCCCCAGCGCAGGGACTTCCCCCAAAGATGGTGGGTAGCGGAGCCGGTGAGGCTGCTCCGCCCGGGCCGGGAGGGGGTTATCGATCAAACTTGGCGTGAGGCGGGCTGGCAGCCGCTCCGCTCCGCTCGGCTCGGCCCGCCCAGCCCCGGCGCTGGCGTCTCCCGGCGGCGGCGGCGGCGCTCGGGGCTGCGGTCGGCGGGCGCTCCCCGGCCTCGCGTGGGCCGGCCCCCGGGCTGCAGCTGGCCCCTTTAAAGCCGCATCGCCTCGGCGTGTGTGTGAGTGCGTGTGTGAGCGCGGTGCCTGCGCCTGTCTGCGGGCGGGGGAAGGGCGGGCAGCCGAGCCGGAGCCGGGAGAGGAGGAGGAGAAGGAGGAGGATGATGGGGGGGGGGGCGGGATGCGGCGGGGGTCCCTGCCGGGGAAGGGCGGGTGCTGACAGGCGCCTCCGCGCCGGGGGGCGAGAGGCCCCGTGAGGGCTGGGGCAGGCGGGAGCCGCCGGGCCTGCCCCTCGGCGGGCGGAGGTCGGCGGCTGAGGGGGACGAGGGCCCGCGCAGCGCCCGCGGCCCCGCCTGAGGGGAGAGGGGAGGCCGGAGCGTGGGGGCTGCCGCGGGGAGGGTGGGAAATGGCCACGGGGCAGCCGGCGAGGAGCGCGAAGGGCCGGTGCGCTTCCCCAGAGCGGCCCGAGTTCTCCCCCAGCCCTCCTCCGGTTCTTAACGCCTGAGGGGGGAGGCTCCGGCATGCATCCGCCCACAGTGCCGTGAAGTGAAGAAAGACAAGGACGAGTTTATCCCGCACCGGGGAATATTAGGTCCTTCCCAATCTCCTCTAAAGGAAGGAAATCCAATCAAGTCTCCCTGTTTCATCCCTTCTGCTGGAAAAAGAACACCTCTGTCGGATGCTGCGTTGCCCCAGCGCAGAGCACAAAGCGTGGCCTGGCCGCAGGGGAGCCGGATGGCGGGTGTTGGACACCCTGCGCGCCCGCTGCTACCCGCCCCGTGGCTGAGCACTGGGCTCGGTGCGCCCCTGGCCTGCACATCCATGGGGACCTACCGTGCTTCTGCTGGAACCTTGGTTCTCTGGGGATGATCTTGCACCCGTCTCCTTGACACCTGGCTACATGGATCCTGCAGCTCTTTTTGCTGCTTTGAGGCTCACAAAACTGTGCAAAATGGAGACAGAAAAGAGATATCAGGTCACATAGTCCATCTCAGAGGGAAGATTGTTCTTCACTTAACTGTTCCTGTCATTTCAGCAGGTCACTTTCCCTTGGTCATCCCCTGATTTCTTTTTCTTTCTGTATCTGACTCTCCTGTTCTTTGAGTCTACGTTCAGTTGAGTTAGGGGTAATATCAGAAGCAGTTGGCTTTGCATTTGCAAAATAGTGAACTGGTGCCACTGGATGTAGCTTCATGTAAGTAGTCAAGATGTAAGACAGTGGCAAAGTACTGCACACATGCTAATGAATAACATCAGAGATTCAAACCACTACTCTTGAAGGAATCCAAAGGCACAGGTTGTGCACAGGCACAAAGAATAGGGCATCATATTAATGATGCAGGAGCCTTTAACATTATATATGTGAGTCCTACTCACTCCTAGGTGCATGCATTAGTTGCTACATGTTGTGTGTTCCTTTATGAGAATCACGCCCAGAAGATGGGAGTCCATTCCAGGGATCAGGCTGCAGGGTGGCTGGTAATGTTCCCCATTTAATTGAGATGGCAGTTGTCACACTATCTCTCTATTTAAATAAATAGTTATCTGTATGGATAGGTGGGCTATAAAGTCCATCTTTATATGTGCTGGGTTTGTGTGTAGTAGGGAAGGGAGCTACAGCGGTGGCCCCCTGTGAGAAGCTTCTCAAAAGCTCCCCTGGCTCCAAGTTGGAGCTGCCTCTGGCCAAGGCTGAGCCAATTAGTGATGGTGGCTGCACCTCTGTGATAACACATTTAAGAAGGGGAACCTTAGGTGGGGGTACTTGTGAGGAGGAGTTATGAGGAGGACACTGAGGTCAGTGGAAAGAAGGAGAAGGAAACTGGGGAGGTATGCCAGAGCAGAGACCCCCCCTGGTATCCTGTGGTGAGACAGCAGGGCTGCCCCGCCTGCCACCACGGAGGTGCGCGGCACGGAGGCCGACCTGAAGCCTGTGGAGGAGCCCACACCGGAGCAGGCGTCTGCACTTACAGGAGGCCAGGACTCTGAGGGGAGAAGGAGCCCCTGCTGTTGCAGTTCGGTGCTGGGAGGACTGCAACACGCGGGGGTGACTCACGTTGGAGCCGCTCGGAAATGGCCGCAGCCCATGGGAATGACTGGAGAAAGTTCATGGAGGACTGTCTTCTGTGAGAGAGGAGCCATGTGGAGTAGAGGAAGAATGCAAGGAGTGCTCCCTGCCTTGAGGAGGAAGAAGAGTTGGACTGGCCGTAACCACTATTCCCTTCCTCCTGCACTGCTGGCGGGGAGGAGGTAGGGAAATCAGGAACAAAACTGAACTTGAGAAAAAGGGAGTGGTGGGGGGAGGTGTTTTTAAGATGCGGTTATACTTCTCACTGTCCTACTCTGTTTTTTAAGTGTTGTTGTTAGTGTTTGAATTAAAGTGATGTTCTTTTTTTCTTTCCCTAAGGAGTCTGTCTCTTGCCCATAACTGTAATGGGTGAGTCATCCCTCCCTGTCCTTATCTCGATTCCTGAGCCTTTTAATTTATATTTTTTTTTCCCATTCCTGAAGGGGAAGGGGGAGTAAATGGCATCATGGTGCTCAGTTGCCCTCTCAGCTTAAATTACAACTCTATAGCACTCCTCAAGCTCAAAGCACTCTGAAAATATTACATATGAGTTCCTGTAAACATCCCCATGAAGCATGATTGTATTCTTCTCTTACAGATATAAAAACTTAAAAATCAAGGAAAGCAACTGGCCCAACTCACCTAGGCAGAAAGTTTCAGACCCAGAATTAAGATCATGAGCCACCTTCACTGTAGAGCAGCACTGTCCTCTCAAATGTCCTTTGGTAAACGTAGCAGATCTGAAAGCTACAGACAGGTATGTGAAGTTTAGACATTCAAGGTAGTTGTGAAAAGCATGTTTGTATAGGCAAATAATTTCTCTTTCTGGTTGCAAACTACTTCTCCTTCCCCATTTTACCAACCTCCAGCCCATTTGTGACACATTCTCCACAAAGTCCTGCTGTCCTCTTTTTTTGGTGTCCTTTCCTAGTGGCCCTACATTCTTCCTGCTCACTTGCTTTCACAAAGTTCTCTCCATCCCTGCAGCTGTGTATTCCAGGCTGACTGCCACCTGCCAGCTGATGAGGTACCGAAAAAATTAGGAAAGAAATAAAGTTTAACAGTACAGATATTAAAACAAGAGAAGAGATAAAATAGCCATGGATGAAGATGGCATGTATCAGTATCTTGTTTTCATACACAGTCGGCAGGGTGGGTACCTCATCTCAAATAAAATGGTGCTTTACAGCCTCATCTCAAAATGGAGAGTCTTGTTATAATCCAAGATATAGCTGTGCTAAGACACATATAAATTTTCATTATCACCCACATTTTTCCTCCTGAAGCCCCTAATATACATGTTGTTGTTGTTGTTATTATTATTATTAGCATTTTCAATACACACTTTGTTTTTTTGCTTAGGTAATTAGTCTCATGGTACTATTTGCAGATACAAATTGTACTGCAGCTGTTCCATACAGATTTTGGAGACACCCAAAGAGACCACATCTCAGTTCATCTTTCTTACAGCGAACCCACCGTGTCCTAGGACAAAACGATAGGAGATTAGTTGGCTTTATGTGAATATTAATGCCATGCAAATAGTTTATGTATTTTGCTAGGGATGCTCAGTGACTTGAGTTAATGAGTTCCATGGTAACTGAGGTCATACCAGATGCTTTCCCAAATCATCCCTAACTAAATACAACCAAGATTATGCAGGATAATAAGAGCTTCGTGTTTAGATGATTTATAGTGTTCTGGGACACTAGGGGATTCTGAGTACTATCTACCTGAGCAGGAGGAGGTAATGATTTATAATTAGCTAATGTGTTCTCGTTGTAATGTCTAATAGTGGATTAGAAAAATGCAATGGAATTTGGGACACAGCATTCTCAACAAGCTTTCTGATGTTACTAGGCTAAACCCATAGTGTTAGCATAGTCATGGCAAAATCTACACCAAGATTCTGTGGCTCAAGCTTCATCCTAATTGCACTAAGCTGAATTTATCACTTCTGTTACTCCTATTTCTAATTGCAAGAGAGAAGCTCATGCAGCAAGTTTCTAGAAATCATTGTGCTTCTCCCGATACCAAACAAATGAGATTATAATTGCCAATAAGTGTATTACCAATTGTGTCTTACATCCTTTTTTTTTGTTTGTTTGTTTTAAACTAGTTATTTCTTCATAAAAACAAAGGACACACAATTAACTGAACTTTATCTTAATATCATCATTTTGATTAGCTAAACTGATTAATTATACAATAGACAGTTAACAGATAGAGTGATAGTAGGGACGCAGAGAAGCAAAGATGAAAAGGGATTCAGGGAGAAGATGAAACTACAGATAGAAGGAGTCAAGGGGAAAGTACAGTGTCAAAAGAGGGAAAATGAATACAGATGTTAAAGCTTCTTGCATTTTGGAAAACAGGTCAAAAGGACACCTATCTAATATTTGATTATATTATGAGGAGGCATAGAACAAACTATAGAAGGTCTCCTGTTTACCTTTCATTGCCATGCAATAACAGAGACATAAAATGAAATTAAAAGGCAGCAGACGAGACAGTTTAACAGAAATATTCTGCTACGCAGTTTATAGCTAATCTATAAAGCTGTCTTCTCTACAGTATTGCTGGCATCTTTAATTGTTTTTAAAAGTTTCAAATTTTAGAATAAATGCATGAGGCCAACTAATAAAAAGGTGTTGAGATTAATATTCAAAATTCATTGAAAACAGTATTTCCTGGATGCCTCAAAAAAGACCTATTCTTAAGCATAGTGAGAGTTTACAGTATGTCTAACATTGCCTGAAGTTTTTGTACTGGTCAGCATTAGAGACAGGATAGGAGACTACCTGAATCATTGATTTGTTGTTACTCATTTTTTCTAAGAACAGTTACCAGGTGAAATCCTGGAACCACAGAAATGTATGGTAGGTTTATTAGCCCTATCATCAGAGCTAGGATTTTACCCAATACATCCTGGCAGAATAATATGGTCTGGCACATAGGAATATGTTCTGGTACATGGAAGGATGATCAAGATTTGTATAGGAACGGGGTCAAAGAAGAAATCTGTTGATAAATAAAAGTCCATTACTCCATTACCGAAGTCTGATTCAACTTTAGGTAGCAGAAGCAAATTCATGCAGCAACTTTTATCAGAACTGAACGTGAACTGTTGCAGTAATAACCTATATATATTACAATTGCACAACTAAGACACAAATGTGGAAACAGTCAACATGTACAAATGTCTTAATTTTTCTTGGGTTTGTGGTATCTTCAAGATACATACTTCTAATTCTTCTAAGAGCTATGGGGCTGGTGGAAATGTAGTGTTATTATAGCCCCATAATGTCAGAGACAATTTATATAACCTTCTGCTTTCTGATTAACTGTACAGTAGGCACTGCTGGCATAACACAGCCCTGAAATTCTTATTTAAACCTGTACTTTTGCTGTGCTCATCTATATTTATTATTTAGAAAACAGTAAATCAAATTTTAAAGTTAATTGTAACCTCTGTATACTGTTAATAAAGTGAATTCTCGCTCTCTTTTTGTTTTATATCTATGAATACAGTTTTCAGGCAAACTTGGGAGTTATGTCCAGTTCATAACCACTTCAACTGTGCAAGATCTGACCACAGAATATTTAATTTCTCTATGTAATTACTGAAATATATTCTTCTTAAAGACAGTCTCTTTTAGCTCTAAGTAGTGAATAATCACTTCAGATGACTGCCAATCAAAAGTCTATTTTCCTCCCAATGTGTGTTTGTATATTACCATAACTCACCTTACTCAGTTCAAATCTGCAGTAGCGTCTTTTAATGAAAATTTCTTTGGAAAACAGCACATAGATTCTTAGAAATGGATGTTTAGACAAAAAGAATTTACATTTTTCACTGAAATTTTAAGGATTTCAGATTTGGTCTGTTCCACTTGATCAGACAGGGATTCCTACCCTCCCCTAAGCCAGCAGTCTGGTAGTTTTAAGACTTATGCAGAAAACTGACATTTTGTTCTCTGCTAATTTCGGAGAACCTGTTTTACTTCTGGAGTGAGCCTTTGCAGCACTAGGGTGTGGAATCAACTCTCTTTTTTATAGAATTCATTCAATTCATATAAATAAGGTATTAGTTAATATGGGAGGGACATTAGACAAAAAAGGAGCTTCAAGCTGTGTCTCCCCTAGTCCTGGGGAATATACTGTTTGTGAACTGTTGGTCTCTCTCTTGCTTTGTCACTACTCAAGAAACGTCACCTTGAATATGAAATGATTTCCCTGTGCAAATTCCCATGAAAAGAGAGCATTTCCTTTGAAGAAAGAGGCACATATAGCACACGTGGTAAGAATGAACAGCTCTGTTACTTTAAGACCTTTTTCTTCCTCTCACTTACAGACCTACCAAACCTAGCATCCAATTCCAACAGCATCTCAAGGTTTAACAAGACAATAAATGGAAGGAAAACACCAAGGATGCTAGCAAACTGTCAATATAGGGAATTTACAGAACAGTCCAGCATCTGAGAAGGCAATATAAAAAATCATAGGAAGAGAGAGATATTGCAACATACCAGTCTAACCCACAGGCTGGAGATTTTGATCCCTGTATACTAAAAGATCTAATACACAGTCTTTAAATCATATTTTGTCATATTGTGAAGGACTTGCATTGTCCATCTGCACAGGGATGAATTTTACCTAAAATGATTTGTTTTATTGATTTCAGTGGGATTAGCTGAGAGTACAAAGATGACTACAGTTGTACACTTACACTGATGTGAATAACAGTGTGGTTCTGATAATCTGCAGTGATTGGGAGACAAGCAAATCCTTCAGAAACCCAGTGGCTTGTTTGAAAAGATCTGATATTAACAATATAGCCAACATTAACAGAAGTGTTCTCATGCTTTATGAAATTTCCATTCCTAATTAAAAGTTATTTGGCTTTATAAGTCACACCTTGTAGCAATTGTGCTGGATCTTGATTATTGCAATATAAAACTGACTGCCCATTTGCTTGCTCTTTCAGCACAATAGAAGGAATAAGAACCTAAAAGACTATTACAGAAGGGTTTTGTAATAGCAATTCTCACCTTATATCAATTTGAAGAGTTGTAAGCATTTTCCAGTAGATCTGCAGTAAATCTATTGTCAGTCAACTTCAGTTTGCTATATAAGGACATACAGCAAAATTGACTTTGTCGACTGACTGTAGATTTACTCTTCTTAATTATCTTTTGCAGACTCTTCAGAAGTAGCCCATGAGCCCCAAGGAGTCCACAGACCTGATTTGCAGGAAAAGAGGTATTTATTTATTATCATCTGTTAAATGTTATTTTAGTATCAGCTTACCTTAAAACTGCTCTTGAACTTTTAAACTGCTGTAATCCTGTTTTGAGTATTGTTGTGTCCTCATAAGCACTCAAGCACTAACATGAAGGTAAGATCACTGCTGTCACTAAATGTCTAATTTTTGGGGACTTTGTCTAACCCATGATGTTGCTAGAGCATCTTACTTTTGATGACGAAGCTCTGTGTTGTATATACAACCATGACTTTCAGTAAGTTTGAAAGCAGACTTCACAGTGTAGCTGATTCAGGCACCCATCTATCTGGTGTTTGTAGTCCCACAGTTCTTAGTGTTGCTTTTCAAAATATACTGGATCAAATCCTCACCCAGTGTAAAGCACCTTAGATCAATGAAATAGATTATACTGTGTAGCATAAATGGACTCTATTTGACTTTTCTGCAATGTAAATGCAGTTATCATATTTTGCATGGCACAAAGGTTCTGATCAATGCTTGCACACTGGTGAATGATCTATATATTTGATTTCACTCTCTTCACCCTTGCATGTGTATTGTTTAAGAACTAGGTAGAAGACCCCACAATCCTTCTGGGCATCCCTTAAGACTGAAGTTTAGGCAGAAATTTCCTTTCATTTAAAAATGATTCTATAATTTTGAATTTTAAATTTGTTTTTACTATTTAGCTTAGCTGCATATGTATCCCCTGAAGAATCATGTTTCAGGAGTGCAAAATTAACTGCAAAAAGAAACTGTGATTTTTTTCTTGCTTCAAATTATGTAAAGAAATCCTGAAAGATTTTTTTACTTTTAAATTATTATTTTATCTTTTATATTGATTCTAAATATTAGGGATATTAAATGTGGTTGCTCTCCTTTTACCAGAGGTCCCTCTGGTACAACACAGAACTGTTTAAAACATCAAACCATAACTGGACGCTCAATCTCAGATAATAATTTGTGTATCTTAGCAAATGCAAAACAATAAATGTAAATCAAGTCAAATCCTTCCTTTCCATGAGTCAGATGCCATTTCCTCAGTACTTCTGATGCAGCAGCTTAGAGTTTAATCTAGAAACCATTACATTCATTAAGCATCATTCTATTGACTTAAATGGTCTTTGAATAAAACTAATAGCCTTTTTTGTTCCTACATATCCATAGTGTTGAGGTGGAAGGGAGGCTAGGGAATAACATGAAAGGCAGGACTAGCAGGTTTTTTTTTTTTAATTTTAAATATCTCATAAGCTATTTGTTCTTCATACATCAGAAAGTATAGAATAGAAGGACATGGATTTTTAAATTTTTTTTTGAAGAAGAAGGTGGCAGAGAGGTCACCATATAGTTCTACTTTGAAACCTGCTTACATAAAAATAACTCTTCTTCAGAAACTGTAGCTCTGCCACCTGTACCTGGGTTATGACACTGATTCTGAGCAGCATCCAACTCCACAATTACTTTCACAGTGATTAACCAGTTAATTAAATTTCTAAAAGCAAGCCAGTTCAGAATTGTCCTTAACACCTTCTTGTTAATCAGCTGTACACAGTTACCAGAAAGGTTAGCTAAGAAGTAGCCAGTCTTACACAAGATTTCTGTGGGGCTGTGATACTTTAAGTGTGATGTAGTGAGTAAAAGAGGAAATGAAAACACGTAATTTTAGACTTAACTTTGAAATTTCTCACTTTTGTGTTTCAAGGCAGACCTTACACATTACTTTGACATACTATTGTTATTTGCAATGTAATCTTGTATAATAATTAACTCCAACTGATCCACTGCAGTGCTTTAGCAAAGTATTGGAGCCTATTAAATTGGAGCATGAATACACAGTTGCTTTTCTTATTTCTAACATAATTATGCCATTGGGAAAAAAAAAATCCAGCAGATTAATGGAAAGGCATTGCTAAATAGAGCTCCTTGGTGCTGTAAATTTCTGGAGTGCTAATAACAGGTTTTGGAGTATTAAGTATATATGAAAAGCAACATGCTGGACGTCTTTTGGAAAGCACTTGTTTCTGTTATTCTTTAGGGAAACTTTCTGCTGTTAAAGGTGAAATCCAGTGACAGCAGCACCAAAGGGTATTTTTTCACTGCAAGCTTATTCGTAGCTTTAGGGCCATCCCATTCCACCCAGCATCACACAATCCCTTATGCCTAGATATACATGAACTTTGAACGTGGCTTTGCCGATGGAGCTGAATTCAACTTCTAAGTAGATCAGCAGTCCTAAAGTCTTCAGTGAGGAATTTGGCTTTAAGGCACACATGGAGTCATGCGTTTGCTATATACATCTGATTGGATTATGGATTCGGTTTGGAGGATAAATACCTCTTTTATGGACTTACAAATGTGTTGAGAGTGTGAAAAGCAAATAAAATATCTGTGGTAAGCAAGGAGACAGGGCATTATTCTAATTCTGTATGAATTGGACCATAATAACCACAGTTTTTCAAGATTTGCATCTCCTGGACCCTGTAGTTTCTGAATCAGTTGTCTCCTGCTTGGCTCTTGCTAGAAGCTACTTGCCAGTTTGTGTACTTCTACTCAGCACTCGACCCTTCGTTCCACATATTCTGTCTCTTTTTGCAGAAGAATGCTGAAAGATGTCACCTCAGCAAGCTGCATTGTTGTCAGTACACCAATGGTTAGCTGTAAAACATGGCTCAGGGTGCCAGGAGCCCTCTCGGCTCCTGTTCAGTCAGCAGTCAACAGCAAATCTGTGTGCACATAAATGATAATTACCAGTCCAATGATATTTCTCTATCAGGTCAGTTCACATATGATTTTTGGAGAGAGGACCTTGCCTGACTAGGAAAAAGGGGCTTGGAGATTACACTAATTCAGAGGATGAAACTAATTCAGAAAGGGCAAAAATTCTTATAGAACAATCCCTGGATCAATATATAAAGAAACTCAAGTCAGTGACAATTAGCAACCTGAAAAGTACCCCTGCAGACCTACTGTCAAACCCAAGTAAATGTCAGGCCATGATGGACATGTCTTCACACAGGCACAGAACTATGTGAGTCTGGTCATCTACTCCAGATATATTCTGCTGTTTTAGCTCAGGCCACAGCCTCGTCGACTGCAGCATGAGCTTTGCTCAAACTAGAACAGCTCTTTCACATTGGAGATGACATTGGGAACTTAATAAGTGCTGAGATTTGTGTTTAAAACAAGACCAGAATCCAGCTGTTTTACTTGTTCTCAGTGAATGCATTTTCCATACTTTGCACAATAATGAACTAAAAGTCATACCATTTCTGCATATTTTCAGGCAATATACGTACCAGCTTTTTCATAAGATATTATTCCTGTAGTTCTCATATTTACAGAGTCATTTGGTCAAATAGCAGAGTCCCTATGACTTTACCCTCACATATGCCTTGATTATGATACATTTCAAATAAGCTGATAGTGATCTTCTAAAATAGATACATGAAAATAATTTTCTCAGAACTATAGCTGTAAGCTAAAAACGCAAAGATCAGCTGACAACACTTCTCACATCCGTCAGCAACGTTCATTTTTGATGACAAAACATAACTAAAATTTCTAAAATTGGTTCGTCAGGGAAGTTCTACCCTCTCAATTTAGTTGGTGTTCATCAAAAGGCTTTTGCTGAATTAGTGAGGTTTTGGAACATACAAGACTGCTTAGGCTACTCAAGCCAAAGGGAAGTAGAATGTCAGCTCTTAGCAGCAACAGCTTTTTTCAGAGTTCACAGGTTGCCTCAAGGTCATCAGACCATTAAGCCTAGAAATATAAAGATGTAACCTTGAGTTAAATTTCTGGCCCCAGGCCCAGTGAATAAGAAACCCTCACTGACATCAGTGGACATCAGACTGGACTCCAAGTCATTAGATCACAAGTGCAATAAGAATGAGGAAATATTATTCTGATTTTATTTCAATTAAGCCATGATCACCACATCTTAAAACCATGCAGTATGTATATGTATACGTTCCCCATATCAGGAACTGTATTTCTGATTCAGAAGGTTGAATGCTTCCAACTGACCCAGAAATTCAATACTTCACAGCAACTTTGTAAAAAGATCATTGTGGAGTCTTGATTACTTGTACCAAACATACTCCTTTAAAGATTAAAAAATGCACTTGCAAGTTCTCAGTTCTGCAAACTCATTTGGGGCCCTGAGAGTCAAGTCATATCCTCTCCCTTCCCAGTCTCGAAATCAAGTAGTTTTTATAGGCTAAACAAGGCCTTCGGTGGTTTCTGTGTGGTACCACTGCCCTCTAATTGCACCTCCAGTGACGTCCTTGCAGCCTGAAGCCTGTCAGTGGGGTTTATCAACACCAAACTAAAACTTTCAATTCTGATGAAGCTGTTCATAAGAATCCAGCTTGCATGTGCAAGCCATGTTGGCTCTTTCAGAGGCAAGAGAACAGTGAAAGCCTATATTTGGCACAAAAGCCAACATAACTGGTTCTTAAAAATGTGAGCAGGACTGCTGAGTGAGAATGTGCAATGAACAGATTCCCCAACTCTGGGCAAAACTGCTCAGGTAGGGGTTATCATATTTTCCAGCTCTATGGCTTTTCCTTCTGTTCTGTAGAGTATGTGATTTCTACTGTAGCCCAAAAAATTGTTTGGAGACAAAAGGTAGTTTGATCACAAAAGCAGCTCCATTATTCAAAGAGCAGCATGGAAAGAAAGGGTGTTTCACACAAATATGATAATGCTCCCTAACTCTGGATTTAGATCATTAGAAAACTGTCTATATTCTCCCCAACCTTCACTCCCCTCCCCCCCTTGCCTAATGTTTTCCAGTGTTTCAAAGACATCGATAGGTATTCTCTAAATAGGCTGTTTTCTAAAAAAAAAAAAAAAAAGGAGATTGAGCCAAATAACCTTGCAAATACTTCCATCTTCAGTAGATTTTTCTGCCAAAGAAAGGATTACAGACCTCAGGATCTGGCCCTACAGTTTGTATGCAGAGTACTGAAATCATAACGTAACAATTTAGGAAGCCA